CCAAGGTTTCGACTGTTTCACAGCTTGGGCTAGTAATTCTACAACAGTCAAGGGACTATCCAAGAGGTCCGCCACTTCCCCGCTTATTGTAGTTGTGGTATCGGTCGTCAGGTATGATTGGATAGCGTCATGTAGTCTGACCTTGTCTATCTCTGTACGGGATTGTACTACCACAGCTAGCCCTAATCATCTCTTGGATCTTATTGGATATGTGGTGAAGCGTGTCTGATCTGTCTCTAATGTGGTCTATGTACGTGAGCTGTCTGCATTTTTGCAGCATCCTGGCCAGTAACCTCCCGCTTTTATTTCCATGAAGGGAGAGAAAGGTCTAGTGTTCAGTAGTGAGACCAAATCCCTTTGGCGTTGTAGGAGCTGAGTCTGTTGCGTAGGAGTCTGAACCCGTTTATCGATGGCATCCAACTGCCTGATGTCCTGTATGAGGGTCGTCATGCTTGCTTTGTTTTGTTTCTTTAGTTCAGCACTTTTGCGTATGAAATAGCCCCTCACCACATTTGTGTGCTTTCCACAAGAGTGTGTGGGAGGTCTGGTCCGAGATGTAAGTATGATTGCCATCAGGGCATGATCTGACCAAGTTGCAGCCTCTAGGTCAGCGTGAGTTAAGGTCGGGAGGTGGCAATGCGTCATGAAAAAATAGTCCAGTTGAGTGTAAACTTTGTGAGGGTGAGAGAAAAAGGAATAGTTCCTTTCGTCTGGGTGGTGAGCTCTCCAACAATGAAATAGGTGATGTCTAGCTAAAAGGGCCCTAATAGCCGTAAGTTGTTGGGTAGGAACATGGGAAACACCTGATGATGAGTCCCACCTCAAGAGGCAAATTAAAATCTCCCCCCACTATCAGTATACCCTCAGTGAAAGCCTGTAAAATGCAAAGAGTTTGGGAGAAGAACCTGAATTGACTCTGATTCGGGGCGTACAAGTTAGCAAAGGTGTATCTGTGGCCCGCTATCGTGCCTTTCAGGAATAGCAACCTTCCGTTTCCATCCGTCATGACCGCCTCCTCCACAAATGGTATTCGTCTGTGTATGAGGATTGCCATACCTCTGGCTTTGCCCCTTGATAGTCACTAAAGTATCCCCGTGGGAAATGGTGATTTGTCATTTTGGGTCTGGACCCCTCCCTAAAGTACGTTTCTTGGAGAAAGACTACTGAGGCCACCCTGTCGTGGAAATCCCTCAGCGCCCCTGTCTGTCTCCCGGGTTTATTCAGGCCCCTAGCGTTTATGGACAGTATCGTTAAGGAAGCCGCTGTCAGTGTTATGATATCAAGAGGAATGTACATTTCAGTCCAATAGTCAGGGGGGCTGCAGGAAGGGAAAAGGGGTAAAGGACAGGAGTAAAATAGACCAAGGAGGGAAAGGAGGGGGGGGAAAGTACAGTGGTTAAGTGCGCTAATAGCAGTGCACTGCTGCCCACTGCGGCAGCGAGAGTAGGAGCGTCAGGAAGCAGCGAACTCCGAGACCACTTGTTCAATGATGCCTAGCTCCAATGGGAGAACGTGTATGGGGTCCAGAATCCCTGACTGGCACAGATCTGCCAAACCCAGCCCGGTCGGAGCTCCCTCCCCACCTCCTCCCAACCAAACCCAGAGTAAAAGGTAGGGCCCTCAACCTGTGGGGAGTGTGGCTAGGAGGTTCCCCCCTAATAATTGAGTGCAAAGATGACCTGACCCCTGTGTGCAGGAGAAACCCAGCTATGAACCTTGTGTATAAGGGGCCATTGGTCATCACTCATGCACCCCCTGAATTAAGCAGGGCCCCCAGGGGGTACATAGAAATATAGACATAGAAACTGGATAAAACCCCCAGGAGTGTAGTGCTGGTAGAGGAAGAGGGGAAGTAATCCCCCTTTCAAGTTGGAAATGCAAACATGATACCTGCTTAGTGTCCCCAGGGGTTGGCTGCAGCACAGGGAGGCCACAGGGGATCCCCTCATCTCCAGCGGTGAGGGAGCAGCAGGACAGGAGGGGGGTTATTGGTTTCGTGGGGAGGTCTAGAATGAAACAACCCACAGGGTCCATCACTTACTGCATTTGCAACTCTAGTCGGGTTTCTTCTCCAAGAGTCTCAGCAACGAGTGGGGTCAGCTGCAGGTCGATGGGTCCCTGCAGGCAGGAAGAGAAGAGACTTCCCAGGGAGGTGCTCTCCATGTGTAGAGGGAAGTCCTACAAGGGGCACCCGTGGGTCGGGCAGCCTGACTTCGTGACTGCCGTATCCAAGGTGGTTTTGGTGCCATTGTGGCGGCATGAGGAGCAGGTAAGTAAAATGTCAGAGGATCCAGCCATAGAAGGGAGACTGCAGGGAGTTGTAATTCCTTCAAGAGAGTCGCCATGTCCCCAGCATCCTTCACCAAAAAGGAGCCTCTCTTGTTAAACAACTTCAGTCCCATAGGGAATTGCCAGTGGTAGCGGTTTTTATTCGATTGTAAAACCCTGGCTAGGGGGCGTAAAGCTCGCCTGTAGGCCAAGGTGGCAGGAGACAAGTCCGGGAACAATTAAATGTCAGCAGCCTCATGTGTAATCCGCAGGGCCTCCCTGGCCTTTCACAATATGTCCTCCTTCAATTGGAAATTTGCATGCAACATATGGCATCTCACGGTGGGCCTTTAGGAGGGCCCATGGGCCAGAGCGCTCTGTGGGCCCAAACAAATTCCATAGGGCTATCAGATGGCCTACCTAATAGTCCATTGAAGACTGCCATCAGAGTGTCTTTAATGGGTTTGGCTTGGTCCAGCTCCTCCAGTAGGCTTTGGACCCGTATGTTCTGTTGCCTGCCCCGTTGTCAAGATCCTCGACATGGTGGGCCATTTGGCGCATTTGGGCCAGCTGTAGTCTCTGTTGGCAGCTTGTGCACTAGAAAAATGGTCACAGTCCGCCTCTACTTGGGAGACTCATTGGTTGAGACCTTGTATAGCCTCACGGTGTGCATGCAGCTCCACCGTGATAGACTTGCATAGGTCTGTTTTAGCTTCCTGGAGATCGGCTTTCGTTGGTAAGTTTTTCCGCAGCAGGACCCAATCCAGATGTGTGTCCCCTGTACCCTGAAGGGGTTGAGCAGCATTTGTTGTGCCACACAGTTGCCATCGATCGACGGGGACAGGAGACAGGAAAGACTGGAGGCTTTCAAGTCGTTTGAGGCCTGTGACATGAGGTCTGCTAGGGTTACCAAATATTGTCAGAGCGAGGAGGTAACAAAGCCCCTCGGGTTGTCCTGTGCCCTCTGGGCAGTCGATGCCCTGTGAATTTTACCCATTTCAATGGTCGTGATTGTGTCAGACAAGAATTTTAGCAGAGCCAGCAGGGAGCACATGGATTAAGCAGCCATCTTCCGCAACCTTCAGGCTAGGCCCCTTTGGTAGGTGTATTTTAACAGTGAGAGACAGAATAACAAAAAAAAAAACCTGAAACACGCATGTCAAAAAAGTTATAAATTGATTTGCATGTCAATGAGTGAAATAAGTATTTGATCCCCTATCAATCAGCAAGATTTCTAGCTCCCAGGTGTCTTTTATACAGGTAACGAGCTGAGATTAGGAGTACTTTCGTAAAGGGAGTGCTCCTAATCTCAGCTCGTATAATTCACTATGTGGGTGACTTCCTTATTGTCGAGAGTAATGCCTATGCCCTATGCAGTCTACAGGTTATGGTCCAGCTATTCAAAAACTTGGGTGTTCCAGATTCCCCACAAAAAACTGAGGGACCCGATACAGTAATTAACCCCTTAAGACCGGAAGGCGTACTATTACGCCCTATTTTAGGTGGCTCTAAACGCCGCCGGGCCTAATAGTACGCCCTCCGGTCTTTCTTTACTTACCTGGTCGCCGTTTTTTGCATTTTTCACGCACAAACAGCACTTAAACGGATGATATTATTGCTGAGATACTTTTTACTGTTTTGAAACACAATTATTTGTGTTCAGTGAAGTCTCCCGAGTACAACAGTACCCCTCATGTACAGGTTTTATGGTGTTTTCAAAAGTTACAGCGTCAAATATAAGGCTTGTGTTTCATTTTTTTCACATTAAAATTCGCCAGATTGGTTACATTGCCTTTGAGACCCTATGGTAGCCCAAGAATGAAAATTACCCCTATGATGGCATACCATTTGCAATAGTAGACAACCCAAGGTATTGCAAACAGGGTATGTCCAGTCTTTTTTGGTAGCCACTTAGTCACAAACACTGGCCAAAATTGGCGTTTTTTGCATTTTTCACACACAAACAAATACTAACGCTAACTTTGGCCAGTGTTTGTGACCAAATGGCTACTAAAAAAGACTGGACATACCCCATTTGCAATACCTTGGGTTGTCTACAATTGCAAATGATATGCCATTATGGGTGTAAATTTCTTTCCTGGGCTACTATAAAGTCCCAAAGGCAAGGTAACCAATCTGGCGAATTTCAATTTCAAATGTAACGTGCTATATTTGACCCTGTAACTTCCCAAAACACCATAAAACCTCTACATAGGGGGTACTGTTTTACACGTGAGACTTTGCTGAATACAAATATGTGTATTTTATTGCAGTTAAAGCAAAACAGTATTATGACATTGACCGTTAAAATGTCATGTAGAACTAAAAAATTTTGTAAAAAATCTTATTTTCTCCCATTTTTTAAATATTAAATTATGTTTCATAGCTAAATATTTGATATTAAATGAAATCCCTGTTTCCCCTGAATAAAATGATATATAATAAGGGTGGGTGCATTTAATATGAAAGAAGTGAATTACGGTTGGACAGACATGTAGCGCAAATGCCAGGTTTTGTTTACATTTTGTTTTGTTCACAACATGTACATTTGGCCTTGTCCTTAAGGGGTTAATATCCTAGGTGTTCAACTTAACTCAGTAGCTATGCAAGACAGCCTTCCAAGTGACAAAGTTTAACGAATCCTGATGTATATTGATGAATGCATATGGATCTGTTCCTTCAATCGCAGGAAACTGCAATCTCTGTTAGGTTCACTTGATTTAAATTTCCTGCCTATTTCCTGGTCTCCATAATGAAAGTCGCCGAATCACATTAGATACACACGCTACTGTAGATTTTATTATGTGGCAGAAATTTCTCCTTAAATGGAATTTTTTGTGACGAGTGGCTCTGGGGAAATTGGCCAACCACAGACAATTATATACAAGGTTTTTCGACCACATTGGCTCTTTTTGAGCTCTGCCCAATTGTGGCAGATGTGGAGGCTTGGGGTACATTATGGTCAGGTCAGACGATCAGGTGTTTCTCAGATAATCTGGCTACATGTCTCATAATAAACAAGGGAAGCTCATCGTCGCTGACCATAATGCAATTCCTTAGGAAATTCCTTGGCTGGTAATAATCAGTTCTTTTTAACATGTGTTCATGTTCCTGGAATTTGAAATATTGCTGCTTATCACTATCTCAATTTCCTTTTCAGAAATTTCTCATGTCTCTGCCTCCTGTCTAGGTACTCTGGCCCCATTGTTCTGAGACATGACAATGGACTGCATCATCTTTTGTCCCACGGCCGTTAACTCTTGCAGCTGGCTCTCTCTGCAAACACTGTTAAAGAGCGTTCCAGTTATTCAACAGGTTTTTGCCACCTTAATCTAAAATTAACATTTAATACCATAAAAATTGTACTTAACCAGAATAAAACATCACATACTTACTCAGTGGCCTAACCGGCTGTAGTGGAGCACTAGTCCTAGCAGGGACTTTCTCTCCGCTGGATCATCCAAGAGTAAAATCAGGAAAAAGAAAACATAGAAACATAAGAACCAATCGACCCATCTAGTCTGACCAATTTTTTAAATACTTTCATTAGTCCCTGGCCTTATCTTAAGTCTAGGATAGCCTTATGCCTATCCCACACATGCTTAAACTCCTTCACTGTGTTAACCTCTACCACCTTGGCTGGAAGGCTATTCCATGCATCCACTACCCTCTCAGTAAAGTAATACTTCCTGATATTATTTTTAAACCTTTGCCCCTCTAATTTAAGACTATGTCCTCTTGTTGTGGTAGTTTCTTCTTTTAAAAATAGTCTCCTCCTTTACTGTGTTGAAAACACCAAGTAGATATTCCACCTCCTCCCCAGTAACTGGATGACACACAGTTCTGAGAGTTTTCTGCACTGACCCCTACATGGGGTCTCTCACACAAAAATACCTGTGTCTGAGAGATAGTTGCGTGAGAAAAAACTATAACTCAATTATCTCTCAGGTACAGAAAAATATACAATATTTAAAAACATCCAAAAATACATTTTAATAACTTCAGAGCCCCACAAAAATCATATTACCGAATAACTTGGATCTGAGCACACACTTTGCCAAAATATCACTCAGATCCCTTTGATGATTTGGGAACGTCATTCGAATTAAGTTTTTTTTACCGTTCGGCTGAGAGGTGATGCCCCAAAACAGTTCCAGAGAAAACAAGGCAACGACCGGTCATTTTTCAAGGGTTTTTGCAGGGTTCTGTTAGTATACAAATGCTCCCCCTGTTCGCTAGTTTATGCCTCCCGAACGCCAATCTCCTAATTGTTTGGGAATTTGTATTGGCACCGGTACTAGTTTCCTTGGCGTTTGCATATCCGAAATTTGTTTTTCGCCATCGACGACCATGTGCCGCTGCACTTGTTCAGGAGACAAAATTTTTGAACACGTGTTCCATTATTCAAGTGGCAGCCACACCAGGAAAGCACTTGAACTAATGACCAATTTGTGGATAACAGCCAGGGGTGGTCTGTGATTATGAGGGTGCGAACAAGGGGCCACACAACGAGTGGGTTCAGTAAATGAACGGGGCATACGGACAGCAGAACAAAAAGGGTAATTAAAGTATCTGGAGTTCTCCATTCTGTTACACAGGCTGAGCTTCTTGTCATCATAGCAGATAAGAACCATACTGAAAGGCATACAAAAGTCAAGCATCTCACAACCACCCTCAAGACTTCCCATTCATAGACAATCATTTCAATCTCTATCTGATCTTTTGGACACTGCACCTTTCGAACAAAATATTAGGCAGGCAGTTAAAACTGTGATTGATCTGGCCTTCTAAGGGTTCCTCAGACCCAGAGAATTCAATGCCATAAACCACCACTGACTGTCTTAAAAGGTCTCATATCACAAAACTTCACGATCACTATCTGCTCACTCTAATCCACTCCAAAACAAGTCAAATGTTTGTTTGACACCCCCTCGATATCCCCTACTACCCTACACACAACAAATGTTGTCATAAACGTAAAGGTTTTAGACTCTTATCTACGCTCCCATCACAATCTTTCTACCCAACCTTTACCCTTAGCCAAGTTCATATTATATGTACGCATGCTGCTTAAAAGATTTGGTCTTAACCCCTCCAAATACACTGGTCACTCATTTAGAATATCAACAGCATCCACTGCCTCCAGTAAAAATGTGCCAGTATACATTATTAAAACTCTATAATGTTGGAAGTCCTCGGCTTATTTTACGATACATACCTCAACCTGTACATGCCTTTCTCAATAAGTCCGTGTAACAAATTATATGATTATTGTAGATTGCATAAATTACATTATGGTATCCCTTATTTTTGCCTTCTTTTCTTACAGAACTACCGTATTGTCGGTTCCGGCACACCACAACCGGCTTGTCAGATACGATGTATCACGCATACAGTTGTGTTTAAAAGTTTGTATACCCTGGCAGAAATTGTTAAATTTTGGCATTGATTTTGAAAATATGACTGATTATGCAAAAAAATGCAAATTAGTTTAACAAGGAATCACATTTTTGTCTTTTCCATTTTAAACATGGATTCCTTGGAGTTTGTATTTGTTGTATACAACCGCTTTGAAACACAATGAAAATATGCAAAGCCAGTGAACCACTTATGGACACCTGTTTTGTTGTTAATGCAACTCATCAGCATGTGCTTGCTTACTGGCTTGATATTGAGGCTTGGCAGTCCTTGCAAAGCAAAATCCATTAAAGTTATGATGGTGAAAAATTTAGATTTTTTGCTACGAAGAAATTGTACAGAATTATCTGATTATAAAAATACATCGAACTTGCTTAGAAGTAGATTTTTGTAAAATGATTGTAACAGTACTATAGTCAAACAAGCTCAAAAAGAAGTAGAGGAAATAGAGAGGATACAACTCTTGAAATATAAAGAACAAGATGGAACAACTAAAATAGAGGAAGAGGTACCAACTATTTTTAATTATAACAATCAGTTTTAAGAAATGAAAGAGATCATTAGTAATAGATGGCCAATTTTGAGGAAGGATAATTAAATTTTTAAGATTTTACCTATTGTGGTGTGTTTTAGAGGTTAGATGAAAACCTATGCAATAAGAAGTTTCTTTGTCTTTTTTTAGTATCTGGCTTAGTATGCATTTAATCCTATCAGTGTCAACCTAAATATGCAATATATAAGAGAGATCAGACCCTTTCTGTATCTGCACAATTTATACAGGATTTCAAAATTAATAACCCGTGATTACTAACCTTCGGATGTCTTTAGCATGTGCAAAGTTCCTTAATTGGAGTAATCTGAAGAAATCTCCAGGTATCCTTTGTACCCCTTTTTTTAGCTCATCGAAGCGGACTATCTCTTCCCCTGGCCATAGATGATATAACATTTGAATATCTCCTGCCTCTTTCTAAATCCAATGGTCTCATGCCTGGGGTAAACTAAGGATTTCTAAATACTGTGGTCATTGATGAGAGTTTGTCTGTTAATTTGTATGTTGTTCTTAATATATCTCATATTTTAATCATGTTCAATATAGATGGACATTTTGTATTAATGGGTCTTTGGTGGCTTTATCCACCCATAATTAATAAGAGGGTAATTCTGGATCCATGAATGCTGCTTCGCCTTTCTCCTGGGGATAAATGACATACAATTATCGGCTCAAATTGTGCAGCGTAACAATAAAAGAGTACAGTGCCTTGCAAAAGTATTCACACCCCCTTTCGTGTTTTGTTGCCTCACAACCTGGAATTAACATGGATTGTTTGAGGATTTGCTTCATTTAATTTACAGAACATGCCCACAATTTTGAAGATGTTTTTATTTTTTATTTTTTTTTATTGTGAAGCAAACAACAAATAGGACAAAATAACAGAAAAAGTCAATGTGCATAACTACAGGGAGTGCAGAATTATTAGGCAAGTTGTATTTTTGAGGATTAATTTTATTATTGAACAACAACCATGTTCTCAATGAACCCAAAAAAACTCATTAATATCAAAGCTGAATATTTTTGGAAGTAGTTTTTAGTTTGTTTTTAGTTTTAGCTATGTTAGGGGGATATCTGTGTGTGCAGGTGACTATTACTGTGCATAATTATTAGGCAACTTAACAAAAAACAAATATATACCCATTTCAATTATTTATTATTACCAGTGAAACCAATATAACATCTCAACATTCACAAATATACATTTCTGACATTCAAAAACAAAACAAAAACAAATCAGTGACCAATATAGCCACCTTTCTTTGCAAGGACACTCAAAAGCCTGCCATCCATGGATTCTGTCAGTGTTTTGATCTGTTCACCATCAACATTGCGTGCAGCAGCAACCACAGCCTCCCAGACACTGTTCAGAGAGGTGTACTGTTTTCCCTCCTTGTAAATCTCACATTTGATGATGGACCACAGGTTCTCAATGGGGTTCAGATCAGGTGAACAAGGAGGCCATGTCATTAGATTTTCTTCTTTTATACCCTTTCTTGCCAGCCACGCTGTGGAGTACTTGGACGCGTGTGATGGAGCATTGTCCTGCATGAAAATCATGTTTTTCTTGAAGGATGCAGACTTCTTCCTGTACCACTGCTTGAAGAAGGTGTCTTCCAGGAACTGGCAGTAGGACTGGGAGTTGAGCTTGACTCCATCCTCAACCCGAAAAGGCCCCACAAGCTCATCTTTGATGATACCAGCCCAAACCAGTACTCCACCTCCACCTTGCTGGCGTCTGAGTCGGACTGGAGCTCTCTGCCCTTTACCAATCCAGCCACGGGCCCATCCATCTGGCCCATCAAGACTCACTCTCATTTCATCAGTCCATAAAACCTTAGAAAAATCAGTCTTGAGATATTTCTGGCCCAGTCTTGACGTTTCAGCTTGTGTGTCTTGTTCAGTGGTGGTCGTCTTTCAGCCTTTCTTACCTTGGCCATGTCTCTGAGTATTGCACACCTTGTGCTTTTGGGCACTCCAGTGA